TTCAACATTCACATCTCTTGTGTTCCTGGTGTTAGTAAAGTCAGCAAGTGTTGTCATCAGAGCAAGGACTTCAGCAGCACTTTGGGGGTGAAGTCTCTTGCAAATAGGATTTGCAATGCTGGGGAGGACAAGGGGTAGTTTTCTACTTCCAGAATTGGTAGCTAGTCCCAGAATAGTTTTCCCATTTTTGGTGGGCAAGACTGTGTTGGCACTGCTGAGCTCAGCCAGCAGGGGCTCCTGTCTCGAGGAGAACAAGAGAGAAACAGATTAGTAGCTTGCCATTTCTAGACATGCACAAGCCAGTTACTCAACAGCTATTCTTGTGCCTTCTGCATGTTGGCTTGCAGGAGGCTCATAGCAGAAATCTGATGCTATCAACTCAAGGAAAGACAAATTTCTGTTCTGTATCTGGAGTTACAGAGTATACCCCAGTTTCCCTGCCACCAGGAAAATGGCATCTCCATTGAGCAGCTGTGGTGTGTGCAGGGGGGAGGTAGGGTCATCAGATACGTTGCAATTTCCAGCTAAAGGCATTGAAGAGATCTGGCTCTGATGGATTTTTGAGTCAGCCTGGTATCTCCCTGAGATGCTCATTAGCACCTGTTTTCACAAACATTGGGAGCTTTCAGCGCTGTGTGTGAGCTGGGAGTGGAAGGGAAAATCGCTGGGGATCCCAGGAGCAGTGCAGCTGCCAGTCACACACCACAACTAATTGGCTCTTTCCTGTATTCATCCCTTTCCGTGTCTGATGTTGTTTCCAGTCCCTTATGTGCAGCTCAGCCACCTAAGCACTGAGTCAGGTACCTTCAATTGTGCATCTGCCTCGGCCCAAGTCTGTGTACGGAGTTGAATGGTTCTTCGGGTGCATTGCTCTGTCTCGGCATGTCCTGCTGCGAGCTGGGCTGATCCATTGTACAATGTGTATGCTATGGTTTTTCCCTTTCGTCTGTATTTTGTTGATTGTTGCATGACTTCAGCTCTGTGGTTTTCTAGACCGATGAGACTGACTTTCAAAAGGTCCTCTGTACAACAGCTGCCTTGGTTTGCACAGACGTTTACCATGACTGCACTTGCAAATGATCAGTTACACTTCCGGCATTTGCTCACCTTGGACCTTTTGAAATTGGGCCTTAAACATTGTGCTTTAGACGTGCAAAGACTTAATTTTGGCAGTGAAGAGTGAGTTTTCTTCCTGAGGGTATAGCTCTTTTTGTGCTTACCCAGTGACACATACCTGAGTGACTGTGGTACTTGCTCTAGGAACTTCTTCCTTTCCTAAGTCCCACACTTGTTCTCTCTTGCAGTGCCAGCAGCTAGTATGACCAGGCTGATGCGCTCCCGTACTCACTCCTCCTCTAGCGTGGGCTCTGGCGAGAGCGGCCGCAGCCGGTCTCATACTAGCAACTATGGTGAAGGAAGTGCTGGAACCCCAGAAGGAATTGACCTCCAGGATGCACCTCAAACCATGGAAGTATCCTGTTAGGCAGGAGCCCCTCTTCTGGATTCAGAAAACTCCACTTGCCCCCACTGAACCCACTCAGAATCTAGCATTTCATCCAACATGGCATTAACTGTTCTCTCTAACTTGTGCATGCCCATCTGAGCTGCCACCTCCTTGGTAGTCTGTACTTGGCATTACTTTGGTCCTTTCTGTATGCCCTTGGCATCAGAGCCTCTTTAAACTCGTTAACATTCCGCAGTCTTAGTAAGTCATGTTACTGTACATGCTGATACCATCTCCTGTCTGTGCTGTATATCAATCCAGATGACAGCCGTTGTCTCCCCTGTTCATTTAAATATAATTTCTGTGGCTTTGTGAGGTTTAGAATTGCTTTCTAGCTGTGCTTCTGCTAAAGGACCCTTGTGGTGCAGTTGGTATGGCATCTGTGGGACGTGGGAAAGCAAGGCTGTGATGATGTGAAGCTCCAGGCGCTGGAGCGGGCAGGACTCTGGCAGATCTGCATTGGAGCACAGAACCCACCAGAAGGTCTTTGTGTTCTCTTGGCATGCCAGGGCAGCCATGGGGAAGTCAAAGAGAAATACTGTCTTGGTCTCATCTCTGTATGTGTGTTAAGAAGGAGCAGAGTGATTTCATACCTGAGCCTCCTGAAGGGGCAAAGCAATTAACAAGTAAATTTAACTAACCGAGGTGCACTATTAACCAAGTACAAGGGATTAAACTGCAGCAGCCCTGGCTTCCAGCCCACCTCTGCTGACCCTCTGCCTCTCCTGGAGAAGAGCCAGATGCAATTACACCTAGTCACTGTTCTACCCTGGCACAGGTGGATCTTTCACATCAAGTAGGTTGTAAAACAGGCAGCAATGCCCTTGCCAGGTGGAGACCCAGGAATCTCCTGCACTGCCAGCTCTGCCTCCCACTGCTGCCCGCCCCAGGCAGAGTGTCTGCACAGGGTATTAACTGAGGCTCAGGAAACACCAGTGAAAGTAAATGGTGGCCAGCACATGCACGTCATGTGAGTCAGGTCCCAAGTGTGAGCAGTGAATGCCTCTGTGCAGGTACTGTTTACTGTCTGTGGAATTCACAGTTCTGCTGCCTTTTTACATCTGGCTGGGTCACAGAAGGCAGGAGGCAAATGCCTGCTGCATGCCAGGGTCTAGCTGTTAATGGGAGAAAAGGGATGAGTGGTCAGGCTACTACAGGTCTTGATAGATGAGCAAAACATCCTTTCTTAACTGTTGAGCAGCCCTGACTTGCTGGGAGCTAGCTCCTCTGAGGGTCACACTCATGTTCTGCTCCATTTCAGGTAGGGAATGGGACTGGGAGACTCTGCCTGAGGGGCACTTTGTACCAGTTATTAAATAAAGCTATAACTGAGGTTCATTGTTACCCTGCATGCTCGTGTTTCTCTTGGCATGATGCAACACCCAGACTGGTTTTGTCGGTTTTGGTGCCTCCTACTGTGAGAGGCAAACCCTCTCCTGTGGAAGCTGGCAGGGGCCAGCTGGTGCAAGAGGTGGCAGTGTGTTGGGTGGCCCCATGACCCCTGGAAGGGCTGTCTGAAGGGGCTGCAGAGCGGGTGCTGCCAGAATGAAGAAACAAACTTCCTGCTCTGACAGTGGAGACTAAATCAGGGTTGCTGCTGAACAGGCACGGTGCCAAGAACTGCCTCCAGACAGAGGTGAGGGCTCGGAGCTGCCTTCCCTGTGAGCAGTGCTCCCCACCAGCATGTCTCACAGATGTGACGCCAATCTCACTGTAGAGCCCGTGCGAGGCGGCTGTGGTGGGTGGAGGAGGCAGAGGGCGTTTGGGAGGCAGTGGGAGGGCTGCCCACGCCTCTGCCCCCTGCCTGGGCCCAAGGGCAAGCAGAGCAACGCAGCAGCCAGTCCTTAACACAACTGCTTCCCCATCTTCTGCTTCTCAGATACAGGCTTTGCTCTCACGTCTTGGGTGTCTGTCATCTTAACTCGCACCAAGAGTTAACTGGGACTGAAGAGGGGTTAAACTGCTGGTCACATATTAGTCCCAGTCTTGCTGTCATGCCCCTGGGTGGGCTCCTGCAGCCTCCTTCTTCAACTTTCTGAAGACTCTGGGGGAGGTTTCTGCAGGAAGTGAGACAAAGTGTTTTCATGAATCACAAACTGAACAGAGGGTAAGAAATGGGAGAAATTGGCCAGTCGTATTAATGAGTAGTGAAGTGATGAATGGTAAGTTTGAGTCTGTAGAAGAGAGACCAGGCTACCAGCTACCCCATGAAGTTCATGGCTGGTACATGCAAGTGCTGGATGCAGAGCAGACATATGCAAGAGAAGAGTAGATGTACATACCCCAACAGCCAAGCAGAGCCCCAGTGGCCGCCTGCTTACATACAAGCCCCTTTCCGTGTGCATCTCACACCGTCGCAGTGGTTTGTGACCGACCAGAAAGTTTAAAGGGCATCACAGAAATAGCAGCAGGCTGTTGAGCCGGAGCCCTGTGGCAGGATCACAGCAGAAAGCGTGGGGGGAGCAGCACCCACAGCGGGGGGGCGTGCAGTGGAGATGCCAACAGCAAAGCCCAACCAAGGACTTGCCCCATGGAGGGTGGGGGGTGCTGGTGGCTACTGCTGGCTGGGGCTGAGGATGTGGCTGGCACAGAGATGGAGCTGGGGCTGCTCCCACACACAGCGGGGGGGATCCTACCCAGGGCATTACGACCAGCGCCGGGCCGCGGCCCAAGGGCAGCGTGTGGCCCTGGTGGGCAGCGCAGGGCTGCAGGAGCTGCTGAGCCAAGGAGGAACCCTCGGAGCCCCACCGTGGGTCACCCCGGCTGGGGCCAGCCACACCTGCCAAGGCCTGGCGGCGGCACTGCGCCCATCTCACCCTCTCACCCCAGATCCTGGGCAGTGACCATCGTGCCTTGAGTGGCTGAGTGAAAGAGCAGCACCCTGCTCGGGTACACCAGCACGTCACAGGAAACAGCAGCAGCAGCCCCGGCGCCTCCCAGCCCTTGCCGGCAGCGCTGCCAGGAGCAGCCCTGGCTCCAGCCCCAGAAAATACCCAGCCCCAGAGCAGCAGCGTGAGGCCGGACTAAAGGGGCCTTTGCAAGGGCGCGGGGTGCCCAGCACTGTGCCAGGGGGACCCTCTGCCACCTGGGTGCCCTGAGGACCCACCATCTCCCCACGGGGCAGAGTCCAGCCCTGATGGCTCCTGCACCATGAGGAGACCAGAGAGGATCAGGTAAGGGGGGTGTGTGTGTGTTGCCCCTGCTCAGTGCAGCAGCGTGTGTGTGTGCGTGTGTGTGTGTGTGTGCGTGGGGCTCAGCCCAGGGCACCTCTCCACGGCTGAGGAACCAAAACACGTGGAGGCATGTCCCCACAGCCCAGCGCTCCCCATGGGAACTGGGGTTGGCACAGGGTGCCCCCCCCCCCCCCCAGGGTACACTGGGCTGGGGCAGGACAGGGCAGCACTCAGAGGGCGCTACCCACCACGGGGCTGAGGGTGCCCCATCCCGGGAGGGCCCCCCCAGCTCAGCTCACAGGTCCCAGACACCCTCCAGGGCAGCGCTGACCCCGGGCGATGGGGAGCCTGCCCAGCCGCAAGAAGCAGCTCAGTGCCCCACCAGTGGCTGCTGGCACCACGCAGCCCCCGCAGGCAGGTAAGGGCCTGGCAGCTGCCAGCTCGGTCAGCATCCCTGGTGTACACCGTCCTCTCCCCCCAGCTGGGGCCAGGGCAGTTCTGAGCCCCTCACCTTCCCCGCAGACCCCAGCAGTGCCCTGGCCCTCTGTGACATCCCCTCCAGCCCAGGGGTGGCCACTGTCCTGCGGATGGGGGAGCAGCTCCGCATCCTCTCTGAGTAAGTCCCTGCACCAAGCAGGGGCTCCCCCCCAGGGTGCAGCCCACAGAGTTGTGTGGTGGTGACACCGTCCTGGGAGTCCCCTCCCTGTGCCGAGCAGCGTCAGCCTCTCGGGGTGGCTCATCCCCCTTCCCCGTAGGGACGGGGAGTGATGGCTGGTGGCATCTGAGGTGTCTGGCAAGGAGTGCCACGTCCCCAGCAGCTGCGTGGCCAAAGTCAGGCACAGGTAAATGCTGAAATCAGTCTGTCCCAGAGTAGCCCCAGTGCACACAGCCCCAGCCCAGCCCCCACGCTGGGACACTGTGCCCTGTTTCCCTCCCCGGGCTCAGGGAGGGACCCTGCCGTGCCAGGGCAGCCCCATGACCAGCCCTGCTGCACCCCAAGCTGCCCCCTCAGCCCTGGCTGGGGCAGAACATGCCCTGGGGTGTTGGGGTCCCTGCACAGCCATGAGGCTCTGCTGGTGCCTGCTGCCTGCACAGGTGGCTCTACAAAGGTATCAGCAGGCAGAAGGCAGAGGAGCTGCTGCTCGGTCCGGGCAACCACAGCGGGTCCTTCATGATACGGGAGAGCCAGAGCAGGCGAGGTGATAGCCCTCCCGTGCCCCCTTCCAGCTGTGCCCATGGGGGCGGCAAGGGCACGTGGGGCCCAGCAGGGCTGATGCCCCATCGCTCACACCTGGTGGCAGAGAAGTGAAAAGGCTGAAGTGGTTCCTGATGCTGCTGCTCCTGCTTTGTGCTGAGCCTCTGCCTCGGGGCCTCAAAAAAAACACCAGCAGGCTGCCTGCAGCTTTAGGTTAAGCAGAGAAGTGAAAAGGCTGAAGTGGTACCTCAGGGTACCACAACGAGGTACCCAGGGACCCTGCTGGGTGCCCCTGCACATGCAGCTGTACCCACTGTCAGGGTCCCAGGGTACAGAGGGGGCTGTGGGGGGCCTGTCCCTGCACAACCCCTGCGAGTGGAGATGTGGGAATGAGCCACAGCAGCTGCTGCTGGGGGACACAGCCAGCAGCTACCCCAGGACAGCCCCTGTCCCAGCCCTCCCCCAGTGCCCCCCTTTGAAAGGGCTCAGGGCCTGGCACAAGGATGCCACACGGTGGGGGGGTGCTGCTGCCCACCCCAGTGTGGGAGAGGCCCGGGCAGGGGGCTGGTGCAGTGGGGCCAGGTTCCCACAGCAGCCTGGCCATGTGCCCCTCGCCCCGGCAGGCTGCTTCTCGCTGTCAGTGCGGCACAGCGAGCACGGCTCCTGGGACTCCGTGACTCACTACCGCATCCACCACCTGGAGAACGGCTGGCTCTACATCTCCCCTTGCCTCACCTTCCCCAGCCTGCATGCCCTGGTGGACCACTACTCTGGTAATGCCACGCCAGCCCCCCAGGCTTGGTGGGAGAAGCCCTGCACCCTGCTGGGATGGAGGGGGGGAAGGGTGGTAGCCAGTCCCACACCTGCCCAGGTGCCCCTAGGGCTGGGGTGCAGGTGGGGGGACCCTGCCAATGCTGCCTCCCCCCTGCCCAGACCTGGGTGAGGGGCTGTGCTGCCTCCTCAGGGAGCCCTGCTCCACACAAGGGGGAAAGGGGGCCCCAGCCCCTGCCCTGCCCGCTGTCATGAATAAGCCATCACTCAACTGGGACAAGATTGACAGGTAGTGACAGTGGGGAAGGGTCCGGGACCACCCTCACTGCCCCTCATAGACACTGGAGGGGTTGGGGGCTGTCCCCCTGACCGCCCGTTCCCCCTGGCACAGTTCGCTCCTGCTCTCGGAGGCCACGGCCGCAGCAGAGGACTCTCCCATCAGCCTGGGCCTGCGGGAAGCTGTCAGCTCCTACCTCCTGCTGACAGAGGCCGCCCCTGAGCGGGGCTCCCCCAAGAAAGGGATGAAGACCAGCTGAGGGCCCCGGGGGCAGACCCAGCCCTCAGGTCAGCGCTGGCCTGGTTTCAGCTCCGAGGGCCTGTTGGTGCCGGGGGACTGTCGGCCTGGACACGGGGCTGGCACCAGTGCTCGAGGAAGAGGCTGCCTGGAGCCCGGTGCTTTGGGAGGGGATGTTGGAGCAGCCCGAGCCTCACCCCACACCCGTGAGAGAAGCAGAGGCTGGGCAGAGCAGCCTCCGAGGCTGCAGCAGGGCCCTGCCCCATCTGCGCTCCCCCCCAGCAGCACTGAGAGGGATGCAAATACCCACCGAGCCTGGCCCAGGTGGGGAAACAGCCCAACCCCCACAGACACAGCAAGTTTGTTCAAAAACGTTTTTGCAGCAGCCACAGCCCACAGCAGCTGATTTTTAAACCTTTTAACATATGTACCAGGTTTAAGGTCCATAAAACAGGATCCTACTGGACACACAGAATAAGCATGTACAATATATTCATTAAAGGGCATCTTGTTCACAGCTGAGGGTTTGTGAATGAATCATGAAATGTCAGCTGCAACCAGGGCAAGTTTCCACCCACCACAGCCTGGCAGGGTTTGCTCCTCCTCCATTACCCCCAGCCCTGCCACCAGCTTTCCCCAGCCTGGGGTGAGCTGACAGATCAGTTCTGGTCCTCAAGCCAATTCACTTGGGATAAATTAATGAGCCCTTGAGGTTTAAATATGTTTAACATCACAACTGCACTTTAGGAGCAACAAGGAAAGAAACTGGTCCCTGCCAGCACAAGATGATCTAAAAATGTAGAACGTAAATATTCCTGTACAACCCTGATCTAAGCTACATCTCTGGGCTGAAAGGGGCCTTAAAATCAGCAGAAATGCCTCAGAGCAGCAGCACAGCTGAGCCTTTGCTTTCAGCAGCAAAGAAGGGCCTGGGCAGGCACCCGGAGCTTTCTCTGCAGCAAGGACTGGTGCAGAAGCGATTTTGCTGCTCGGTGACATCTCTTCCTTCCTTTCCTCTGTGCTGACAGGCCGGTGCAGCAGGACCCCCCTTATCTGCAGGTTTCCTGCCTCTGACAAGCTCAAATCTCTTCATTTTCATGTCTAACAAACTTGCTCTTGCAAACCCACCGTTACTTTCTCATTTCCTTCCACAGCAGCCTGGAGCTTCACATGCTCAGCCATCAGCATTGAGCCCAGGTGTCCTTTCAGCACAACACAAGTCTGGGTTTATCCCTCAACCCTGACCTTGCCCTGCAGTCAGCTTACAGCACTGCTGTCACCCCTGGGGCCACCAAGACAGCTCAGAGCATTTTGCTTGCTTCTTTTTTGCCATTAACCCACATTATGTGAACAAAAGCCAGCTCTTGGGCCTCCTTCCTCCACCTCCAACCTGAATCCAGGGTGTTCGATGCTTTTACACCAGTGATGGTTCTACCTCAGACTGGAGGGCAGTCATAGTCAAGAAACTGTTCCTCCTAGTGACTGGCAAGATAGAAAATACCTCACTGGAAAGCCTATTCAATCCTTCCCCGAGGCCAGCAGCCTCTGAGCCCTTCTCCTTCCTAGCCCCAACAGCTTTTTTCTGGGCACACTTCACTGATGCTGGGAAACACGTTCTCCAGAGGAGAGGCTGCTGCATGGGGGAGCCCAGGGGCCTGGGGTGCTGCCACCCTCGCTGCCTGCCTCCCCCCATTCAACACTGCAGCCCCAGTTAATGTCACAGGCACAAAGCCAGATGCCAGACCAAGATTTTAACAGCTGGCAGAAGCAGAGAGCAGGTCCTGCCACCTCCTCCCTGCAGCAGCTCTCACCGCAGAGGAGAGAGGCAGGGGCTGCAAAGATGCTGCCCCTGGCAGCCAGCACAGGCTGTGAAGGGACAGAACAATCCCTAAGGAGGCCCACGGCTGCCAGAGCAGGAGGGGACCTGCTGCCTGTCCCCCCCAGGGCTGCTCCAAGTGCCCAGGACTCATGGGGAGAGGAGTTTTTCGGCTGAGGGCACACTGAGCTTGCAGAGCTGTGGCCACCTGGGCCAGATCAGCCACACTGCAGCCAGCACTGACCTCCTCCCAGAGCTGTCACTGACTGCAGAGGAAGTGGCAAGCACTTGGTGACTTTCAGATGGGCAACCTTGCCCTACAAGCTCTGTTCCCCTCACCCACCTGAAACCAAACTGTTTGAGCTTCTCTTTCACAAGAGCAGCTACCAAGCATGTGCTGGGATCAAAAGCACTTCTGAAAGTATTTGGAGGAACTGCAAAATAGTCAAAGCATCTCCAGTATCCTTGGACCTCTATTGGGAGCACACTGCCATTTTGGGAGCCTAGACTCAGTGTAGTGTTCAGTAAACCACACTCCAGGTGACACTGCAGGGTAAGGAAACCCACCACTTCTCCAGCAGGCCCCTCCCCCTGCATCCCTCACAGCATATGTACTCAATCTGCGTAACTTAAAAGCCACCAGTCTGAAAGCTCAGGAGGTACACACAACTCCTGAGCCCAATGCACCCCAACATCCCTAAACAGTGGGAAACGGGGCGCACTGTCCTTCAAACCTTGGTGAGGAGTGTTAACCAACAAGACTCTGTGGCATCGTTCAGCCTGTACTGACAAAATGCCTTGATGGTAACACGAGCCCCACCAGCAGTAACAAACACCCTGCAGGCAGAACATGAGGAATTCCAGCTTTTCTGTTGTTTTGTTCTCAGTTTTGCTGTCTGCATGTATGTTCCAATAGGAAAAAAAGTGTGGTATTTCCTGTTTTTAACTATATACCTATTTGAATATGGGCCTTTTTTGGGTAGCTCTGGCAGTTATTAATCAGACAAGAGCTGTACGCAGTATTTTCCCCTTCACGAGAGCACTGATATGCAAATTCTGAAGGATTAGTATTAAGATAGGAAATACTCTTCGAAACAACGATAATAGCTTGATGTGCTCAACAATGCCATTGGAAAAACCAGACCAAGTACCAGTCACAAACTCAATGTGATGCTGCAGCAGCACGGGTGCTACTCTGGCATCAAACGGAGCATGAATGAGACTCACGGTCTGGACAATGATCAGCAGCAGATCGTGTGATTAGAGATGGTATTTTGGTCAAGTAACAGTAAGAACATTACAATGGTTGTGTCAGATTTCTTAGGCTGAGGAACTTCAAGGTGAATCTACCCCAATGAAGGCTGACAGATGACTTAGCAACTACCACCTGATGTGAGAGTCTGCCTCTACAAAAATCTTAAGATCAAGCAAGCAAAATAGGAGATTGGACAAGCTCACATCAGAGGGCACACATTTCTCTCTGATGGTTAGTCACAGCATGCATTTCAGTAAGTTATTTCAAATTCAGACCACATCTCCAAAACCTGATTTTTGACATTTAAGTGATCAGCAAAACCTACATGATTTGACTGAACCATGAAACACACGCCTGGATCTGCCATCAGTGGCAGAATTTTTTCCAGGCCTCAGAAGCCAGGCTCTAGCAGTGATGCACAGTCTAGCCTTAAAATCCAGAATTTTACAGGAATCTTGTGTTTGAGAATGAAGTCAGGAAGGCCAATTTGGTAGGAAAAAGGAATAAACTGTTTTTCCTCCTACTGGGGCAATTGTGAGAGGAAGAGATGCATCTGAAGGCACACTGATGCCTGCCCCTGCCTTCAGGCACACCCTGTGCCAGGTACTTTCCCTTCCAGTACTTCCCAGCTTCTCTGCTTCCCATGCCTATGTGTTTTCTCTCTAAGGGTTGTTCAAATACATTAAAAGCTCCCTCCTTTGCATGAACATTAAAGCAGTACTCCACACAGGAAATATGCAGCTTCTATCCCAAGCCTGCTGCTGCTGCCCAGAAGTATGACAACAGCTTTCAGGAAAATGTCACAGGCACAGCACCCACGCTGGCATTCCCTGCCAGCACAACCCTCCCCAACCTGCCTGAAACTCACCCGCTAGCCCAGTGCTACAGGACAAAACACACTTCCACCTGATAACTATACAGAATAGGCATTTTTCTCCATACAGTTTGCACTGTACGGCTGACAGCACTTGTCCTTATTCACCTGGTCTTAGGAACCATTCAGGGAAGCTACACCTCCAGGTCTCCTGAGATGAGCACCCTGCCTTCACACTGGTTTCCCAGCACAGAAGTCTCATACAACACTTTCAGGTGCTCCTGTGCTGTTCTGGTTAGAGCAGCTTCCTACCTGCAAGGCTCATCTTTTGTGAAATGAATCATCAGAGGGATGAGCCACCTGCCCCTCTCTCATCAGCACTGCCCTGTGCTCAGCAGCAGCTGCCCTGGTAGGCTGTTCATCAAAATAGGAACAAAAATAATGTCAGATTACATATACTAGGTACTAATATATTAGGATTTGGGAATAAAGTGTACAAGCTCCTCACTGAAACAATATCTAACATAAACCAACACATATAAATATTTTTAATAGATAAACTGTTACGAGACAGATCTGGAAAACAAGTTACCATACTTTGGGAACAGTTAAGATCCATATTCCTCTTAAACTACAGTACCTGCATTTCAATGCTATCTGGAAAAAAAAGTCCAAAATTATTTTACTGAATAATGATCAATTGAAACAAAGACTTTACTAAGACTTAACCAACAAAAACCTATTTATTTATTTATTCCAAACACCAAGATACAGAAGTTTTCAAGTTTTGCAAATATTGCTCCAAAGCAAAATTCTATATACAGCGCCCTCGGATCTAATAGTGCATAAACAAAGACAAATATACTTATGTATCCACAGTGCAATGTTTGCTCATTTCATCAAGGCTCCATGTTGCATTCACTTACCAGTGATTTAAAGAAATAAAAAAGTGACCTTCCAGACTGAACAGTTGGTCCAGACTACGAAATAACAATGTGGAAACTTGCAAAAACAGGGACAAAAATGAATCCAGGCAGAGCACAATTAAGAATCTTTCATGAACATGAGAAATGCTACTCTATTTCAAATAAATATTTTCAGTCTTTATCTGCAAGGGCTTCTCTAGCTTTACTAAAG